CAGAATCCATAGATATGTAGATACACAAGAGGAGATTCATGTCAGAATGGCGTCACATAATTAGGGCCATGGAGTCCCACAGGAGCTATCTGCAAGCTGGGTGGCCAGGAAAACCTGGTGGTATCAGTCAGTCCTAGTTCAAACACTGAAGAACCACGGAATGGAGACTAATTCTCAATATAGAGAAAAGTGGGGAGGTGAGGAAAAGGAAGAAAAGGGATGTGCCACCTCAATAAGAGAAAATTTGCTGTTCCTTGGACTGGCTACTCCATTTGGGGCTTCCCAGGATTGGATGGTTCCTGTCCCCTGCTGAGGGAGGATCTTTACTCCGGCTGATTCAAATGATAATCTCCAGCAGCGATGGGATTATGGCTTCTCCTCTTGGAAAGCTAATAAAATGATTTGACACTCATGGATAGAACATTTTGGGTGTAAGGGTACAGCTCAGTGGTACATCACCCACCTAGTATGCTCTGGGTTCAATCCTCGGTACTGCTAAAAAGAGAAAAACAAGATCACCTGTGCGGCAAGGGATTTTCTTCCCCCCATAAGTTGAGATCATCTCAATCAATTAAAAAATTATCTGGAAAACAAAAGAACAACTCTTCGGATTCTCACCCCCTGTGATAGACATTGGGGTAGTGGTGTGGGCCCAATCCAATACTTAGATTCCTAAAACAAAGCTAGAGGACTCATTTAAAAGTTACTTCTGGGGGCTCTGGATGTGGTTCAAGTGGTAGCACACTTTCCTAGCATGCATGAGGCACTAGGTTCGATTCTCAGCAACACATAAAAATGAAATAAAGATATTATGTCCACCTAAGACTAAAAAATAAATATTAAAAAAGTTATTTGTAGGGCTGGGGATGTGGCTCAAGCGGTAGGTAGTGCGCTCGCCTAGTGGGCGTGCGACCCGAGTTCGATCCTCAGCACCACATACAAAGATGTTGTGTTCGCCGAGAACTAAGAAAAAAATAAATAAATGTTAAAATTCTCTCTAAAAAAAAAAAAAATTTACTTGTAACTCAGTGTTATATATTAACCTTCTTCAAGAAAGGAGCACAATGGTCCATCGCCTCCTCCAAAAGAGTCAAGAAAGTTAAGATAGATGAGTTTTAATTAGTCAAAGTAGACAGTGATTTCATTATTAATCGCTTGAGCTGGGGAGGAAGATCTGCGACACAGTACTTGCCTAACATGCAGGAGGCCCTGGGTCTGATCCCCAACACTGCAATAAATAAGAACAACTTAATCATTTAAAGTAGCTATCTAATTTAGTCTTTTATGAGTTGGTGGCCCTGATGAAACCCAGGGTCTCATGTGTGCTAGTTATTTTTTTCTAGTTTAGCCTTTGTTTCCCCCACCCCTTTTTTTTTTCAGTGGAGGTCCTGGGAATTGAACACAGAGTGATTTGCCACTGAGCTAAACACTCAGCTCCGCCCCCTCCCCCTTTAATTTTTATTTTGAGGCAGTGTATCGGTGGTTCGTCCCCTTTATGCTTTGAATGCAACCCTTGCTTCTCTGCCACCTTGACTTATTTTTTAAAATGACATTCCCCCCCTCACATCTTTTTTTCTAGACCCCTCCCTAATCTCAGGGTAAACAGGATTACCTTCCCCATCCCGCCCTCCTAGTCAGAGTTATCTGTCCTGGAGCCCACACCCACTACAGGAGTGAAGTAATTCTGATTTAGGCATGGCACCAAAGATCTAAGAAATGACTGTCTCGCAATTTAACAAGGGAATTATGACTCCCAGCAGAGAACACTGGAATATAGCCTTTAAGTGACCTTAAAAACCTCCTATTTCCCCTGATGGTCACAATCACAACCTCTAGGACAGAAGTTCCCTGTGTTTCTCCTTTTCTAGCAAAGCAATAAAACTTATTTTCCCAAAACTGTGTCCTCACATTGGACTAGCATTGGGGACAAGGATGGAGATTTCAGTAATAAACTGGCACCCCAGATAGGACTTGAGAGCAGCCCCCACTCTGGCCTGGCCATCCAAGCAATCCCACTTCCATGCTGAGGATGCAAGGTGGTGGTGAATGTGTTGAGTGCCAACTGCAGGAAAGTTAGGTCTGAGTTTGTCTGGGGAACAACCGGAGCAGCTATTCCAGTGAGTAAAGGGAGGGATGGAGGGATCAACCCAGTAGCTGCAGAAGCTCCTTCTACTTTGGGAACTCAGGCCTTCGCTCCCTGAACAGACAGGTTGCTCCATCTGCTACTGCCTCTTTAAGACCTGAACAATACTGGTCCACTTTGAGAAAAAGGAAACTGAACACAGTAAAGTCATGATATTCTTGGCCATCTGGTAAATCCTCTGGTGTGCACAATGAGACCCTCAATTCCTCACATCTTGTACACCTTCACTGAAAGATCTGGTCCTTCTTATGGAGACATCTGTGACACTCCAGGTTTAGACATCATAGTTAAGACAGAACCTAGGGATTTTTATTCTCTTCTGGTCTGTTGTAGGTTCTCATCTATTTTTTGGCCTTGGGTTCGGGAATTTCCTCTGGTTGTCTGTGTTTTCGTTTGTATCTGTTACTGCCACTTTAAGACCTGACAATAACTGCATTGATCCCTATAGGTAGTATCTTGGGAAGAAAGATCTTGGCTGAATGGGCCACCTATAGGTATAAGCCTGTCTTAGGGAAAGATGTTTTACTGTAACACATTTTGGCCTTTGAATGGTTTTTCTGAATTATTATACAGTCTTGCAGTTGGAGTTGGTCTATCAGAGGGGAAACATGGGAGAGATTCTGTATGTACAGGCATTTATGCAGTTGCACGATAAGAAGTCTAAACAGTCAGACACTAAGTTGAGGATTCAAAAAGGCACTGCCTCGGGGCTGGGGATGTGGCTCAAGCGGTAGCGCGCTCTCCTGGCATGCGTGCGGCCTGTTGCGTCCGCCAACTAAAAAAAAAATAAATATTAAAAAAAATTCTCTCTCCTCTCTCACTCTCTCTTAAAAAAAAAAAAAAAAAAAAAAAGGCACCACCTCTGGTGTGCATGGACTGCAGGACACCAGAAGAAAGGGTATAGTGCCCTTGGATTAAATATCTAGTACCACAAAAAAATTTTTTTTTTTTTGACTTTGAGACAGGGCCTCTTTAAGTTGCTGAAGTTCTCACTTAATTGCTAAGGCTGACCTTGAATTTGCCATCCTCCTGCCTCAGCCTCCTGAGTGTCTGGGATTGCAGGCATGTACCTGTACCCAGCTTTTTCCAAACTGTTTTTAGCCTCTTCATTACATCACTCTAACCTCTGTTTCACTTGTCACATGTCATTTTCTGACCCTGGCCCTCCTCCCTTCCCCTTATAAAAATCTTTTGACTGTTGGGCATACAAGGATAATCTAGAGTAATTTTGCCATTTCAAGATCCTCAATTTGGTCACATCTGCAGAAGTCTCTTTTTGCCATATAAAGCAACATATTCACAGGTTCCTGAGGTTAAGACATGGGACATCTTTGGGTGGGAAGGCATCCTATTACACCAAAATAAAGTCATCATCTTCAAACAGTTCACAGTCTCAGAGAATAGATGATAGATGACAGATAATAGATAGATAGATAGCAGCCCCAAGTTCTACGAGAATCCACAATACCTATCTGGACTTTAAGTACCAGGCAGAGTTAGGAAAGAAATTTTACAAAGAAAAGGCCCTGAAACCAAGTCATGCTCAGGATGGAAAGAAAAATTGAATGTGTTTTGATACAGAGACCAGTGCTCATGGTGCATGAAAGTGAGAAGAATGTGGTTCATTTTAGTAACTCTAATAAGATGAACTCATGATATATAGTATATGGTAGTGGATGAGCTAAGAGAATCATAAATCTTTCCCCTTGATTTTTAAATTATTAAATTATAAGACTATACTTTCAGGGATCATTTCTATAGTATGTTTCTAGAGAAGTTTCTCTGATCGTGTAAAGTACCAGAAACCACGAGGAGGAGTTGAGTGTTCTGTCCAGAGAGTGAAGTTGGTTCTAGGTGTTGCATTACTGCAACTGCCTTTTTAATTGCATCCTTAATTCTCTTTAGAGATTAAGAGGAGAGAACAGTCTGAGTGGTTTCCGTTAAAAAAAAAAAAAAAAAATGTATATATATATATATATATATATATATATATGTAATTATTTCTGGGATCTAACCCTTTAGATAATTTGATGAACTTTATGCACTTCTTGCTTAGAAAATATTAGTACAAATGGATGGAGTTGGAGCATATAATGCTAAGTGAAGTGAGCCAATCTCCAAAAGCCAAATGCCAAATATTTTTCTCTGATATCAGGAGGCTGATTCATAATGGGGCTGGGAGGTGGAACATGGGAGACAAACTCTAGATAGGGTAAAGGGGTAAGAGGAAAAGAGAGGGGACATGGCAGCAGGAAAGACGGTGGAGTGAGACAGATATCATTACCCTAAGTACATGTATGAAGACAGGAATGGTGGGACTCTACTTTTGAGTACAACCAGAGATATGAAAAATTGTGCTCTATATGTGTAATACGAATTGTAATGCATTCTGCTGTCATATATAACAAATTAGAATGAATTTTTAAAAAGACAAAAAAAAAGAAAATATTAGTACACAGTGTTATATAAATTTTCATGGGTCCATAGAGCTGTTGAAGATTTTTTTTTTTTTTTGGTAGTGCTAGAGATCAAATCCAAGGCCTTGCACATGATAGGCAGGTGCTCCACCTCTGCACTATATCCTCAATCCTTTTTATTTTATGTATGTACAAATTTACTTATGCATTTCTTTACTTCTGCAGTACTGGGGATTAAATCCAGGGACGGTCTACCACTAAGCTACATCCTCAGCTCTCTTCATTTTTTATTTGAGATAGGGTATTGCTCAATTGCCAGGCTGGCCTTGAACTTGTGATCCTCCTGTCTCAGCCTGTAGAATAGATGGGATTTCAGTGGTCTGCCACCAGAGTCAGCTCTTGAAGAACATCTATGCATCCCTGGTTATCAAAGTCAGTAACAGATGTGGAAGTGTAAGTCGTTTGTAAGGAGTGAACTTTCTCTTGGTTTCTCTAGAAGAAGAAGAGAATAAAAGAAAATTAATCAGAAGGCTGTGGAATCAAAGTGAAGAATAATTTAGGGCCTTAATGAAGATAGTAGTAGATTGGATTAAATGTAACAAACTCAAGAGAAAGTGACAAGGTGAAAGAGTGACTGGACTTTTGAACAATTGGATATATAGTTGAAGATTGAAATATCTCCGTCTGGGCTTCCCTGGTTTCTGTGATGCATGTGGTTAGTGGTTACTAGTGATAAAAAAGGAAACAGAGGCAAGAAGTCAGACTTGAAGGCTCAGTTCAAGTTTGATGAGAAAGGCTCAGTTCAAGTTCAGATCTATTTGAAGTAATTTGGTCTGGAACTCAGGAGAGGAGTTTCTGTTGAAGAATATTCTGTATCTTAGCTACCACAGCAAGTCCTGGTAGCTAAGACCTTTGGGACAATTGAGGTTGCCTAGAGATTATGCCCAGAGAGAAGTCTTTGTCTTAAGGGAAAAAGTCCCAAAGGCCTGTTTTAGAAGTGAGTAAGCAAAGGGAATTGAAAATGATCAATTAGAGACTAAAAGAAAATTTAGCATTCTGATCAATGGGAATAGGTTTGTTTTAGTCCATTTAAGCATCTCTAACAAAATATCATATCTGAATGGCTTGTAAAAAACAGAAATTGACTTCTCATATTTCCAAGGGCTAAGAGTGTGAGATTAGGGTGTCAACAATATGAGGGTCCGGTTAAAACTCTCTTCCAGGTTGTAGAAAGAGGGAAAGTAGACTCTAGCCCCTTGTATTTTTAAAAAGTTTATTTTAGCTGGATGTGATGGTGCACACTTTGAATCCCAGGTATTAGGAGGGCTGAAGGAGGAGAATCACATGTCCAAGACCAGCCTTGGCAAATTATTGAGACCTTAATTCAAAATTAAAAAAAAAAATTTAAAAGGGTTGGAGACATAGTTCAATGATAGAACACTTTTGTGTGAGGTCATGGGTTTAAACACAAAAATAAATAAAGGTAATGAAGTAAAATAAATAAAGTGATGTAAATAAAGGTTTATTTTATTTGTGTTGAGGATTTAATTTAGGGCCTTACTTATAATCAACACAAACTCTACCACTGCGCTGCAGTTCATCCTTCTAGCTTCTTATGAGGGTACTAATCCCACTTGTGAGGTCTCCATCCTCATGACCTTATCTCCTCTCCACATGCCACCTCCAAAGAAAATCATAGTGGGAATTGGATTTAGACATCAAAATTTTGGGAGGACACAGAAACATTCAGTCCTTCATGGGTTGACAAAGATGTAGAAGGTGATATGGAATGAGAAGCACTAGCCAAGAGTAAGAAAGGAACAGATGGTTGTGGTCCCTGATTATAATCCTAGCAAGTGGAGAGGCTGAGGAAGGAGGTCTCCAGTTTAGGGCCAGCATCAGCAACTTAGCTAAGCCCTAAGCAACCTAGTGAGATGGTGTCTCAAAATAAAAAAAAAAAACAAAACAAAAAGAGGGCTAGGGATGTGGCTCAGTGTTTAAATGCCCCTGGGTTCAATCCCTGGTACTAAAAAAAAAAAAAAAAAAGGAAAAGAAAATGGAGGCAGTGGGAGTCTAGAGCAGTGGTAGAATTTATGCTTAGTATGTATAAGGCTTGGGTTTCATCCCCAGCATCAAAAAGAGAAGGAGAGAGAGGAGGAGGAGGAGGAGGAGGAAGGGAGGGAGGAAGGGGGGTAAGGAAAGGCAAGGGCAGGGAATGAAATTACCTCTTCCCCACCCACCAGTCTGAGTCATTGCTACAACTTCACAGGGCTTTTGGATGATTTTATTTCACTGACCACTTTCAGAAAGAAGCTTCCATAACAGGGCCTTTTTGTCTATAGTCTTAGTGAATTTATGTCATGTGCCACCAATCACACAGCTGAGCAAGAGAAGGAACCTAGTGAGCAACCTAGTAAGTTCTTGTCCCAATAAATAAATAAATAAATAAATAAAACAGGGCTGGGGATGTAGCTCAGTTGGTAAAGTGCTTACCTCACATGCATAAGGCCCTGGGTTCAATCCCACCAAAAAAAAAAAAATTAAAATGAAAGGGCTGGGGATGTGGCTCTCTGATACCAAATAATTGAATAAATAAATAGCACCCAGATACTTGATGCTTTCCTTCACCAGTTTAAAAAGCTGTAACTCTTAGGTTTCTGTTTTGAAGTAAAAATAAATCAGCAACCCCTCAAAATGGAATTTTCCTTTCTTCTCTCTCTCTCTCTCTCTTTTGATACCAGTGATTAAACCAAGGAGTGCTTAACTACTGAGTCATATTCTTATCATGTTTTTTGTTTTGTTTTTAATTTTGCCCTTTTTGCTCTTCTGCTCCATGGGAGGATTCTGTCCTCCATGAACTGGCCTTACTTTTTTTTTTCTTGAGACAGTTTCTTGCTAAGTTGCTTAGGGCCTCCCTAAATTGCTGAGGCTGTCCTCAAACTTGAGCTCCTCCTGCACCCCAAATCGCTGGGATTGCTGGTGTATACTACCACGCCCAGTCTTTTCTTTTTTCTTTTGGCAGAGCAAAAAGTCCCTTCCCATGAGCAATATCACCAGCCCTTCAAAATGGAATTTTCTAGCCCTGAGGGTTGGGGAGGGTCACAAGGGGACAAATAGAAACTTCCTCTGTGCTGCTTCATGTCCTTTCCCCCTGGAAGAGAGATGCACTTAGAAGCTGTCCCTTCCAACATGGCGACACATGGCCTCATGACTATCAAGTTCAATTTCCAGAAGATGTAAATGAACCTATTAAGAGGAAAAAAATACCTAAAAATTCCTATTTACAATATCCTCTGGCAGCATTTGAACCAGAAAAGTTTAAGCTATTTCTCCATGGCCAAGAAGCAGCCCATTTTGTTTCCCATTTTTTTTTTTGTTGTTGTTGTTGTATTAGAGATTGAATCCAAGGCCTCGTGCATGCTAGGCAAATGTTCTCCCTCTGAACTATGTCCCCAGCCCTTTCTAAATTTTATTTTACAAGGTCTCACTAAGTTGCCCAGGCTGATCTCAAATTTAAAATCCTCCTGGTTCGGCCTCCAGAGTCACTAGGGTTATAGGCATGCATCACCATACCCAGTGAAATGGTCTCATTTTATTTTATTTATTTTTTAAATTTAGTACTAGGGATTGAACCTAGGGGCACTATACCACTGAGGTATATCCTAGCCCTTCTTATTTTTTAATTTGAGACATAGTTTCACTAAGTTGCTTAGGTCCTTGCTAAGTTGCTGAGGCTGGCCTTGAACTTGTGGTAATCTTGCCTCAGCCTCCCAAATTGCTGGAATTACAAGCCTGTGCCACTGCACCCAGCAACAGTCCCATCTTAAATAAAGCAACCATAATTTATTTAGATGGGTATTTTATGATATATAAAACAAAATGGTTAAATTTCATACAAATTAATAGGGTACGTAGCTTTTTAAAAATATAATGCAAGATTTAGATTAAAAAAATTTCTTCCCTTTAAACAAAAAAGATAATCAACCTAAAAATTCTGTCTCAAGCTGTCACATCCTCAGCTGACGGAAGAAAAGATATGTAGATGAATCATCAATTCACGTTTTTTTCTTGCTTAATAGAGAACAAATTGATGTCAGTGGTATGGGCAGCTGTTTCATGTGCAAAGTCCTATTTTATATTCTATAGTTGTCATAAGGCTCAGTGGCCAGGATTTGATTATTTGTTAGAATCCTGAGTCGAGTCGTGAAGTTAAATCTTGAATATGTGTCTATTTAGGGACCATGAAACAACCTTGGGGTTAAAAAAAAATAAAGAGACTGGTAAAATGTAGGCTTCTCAGATGAAGCAAACTTCAATAATCAACTTAAGAGATAATTTACTTTGCTGGGGGTGGGGTGGGGAATATATTGCTTGCAAATGTGATCCAGAAATTCAGACCTAGTCAACCTGCCGGGAGCTGCGGTGAGCTAGCTGATCATTGCTGGTGCTCCTCATCATCCTGGAAAGGAACTTAATATAGGATGTTTATGATTTAAGGGGGATTTTATACAATATTAT